GATATTAATTTCGACCGGGCTATTCTAATCCTCACTCAGAGAAAAGAAAGCATTGTGGAGTGTTGTTCTTGTGGGCTCCGGCAACACTAAACCCCTGAGCTTGCCTGAGAAGGACTAAATGCACAAACCTGCTATTTTTAAATATCCCATGGAGAGAGACTCTCACTGCAGCCTTTTCTATTTTGTTCTGATAATTTGGCTCCCAGTAAAAACCTCCTAAACGTCTAGATCTTATGTGAGCACACATTAAAGGGAAATTTGGGTTTATTTCAACCTGTCTCCTATCGTCCTAAATTTGTTTCATGTGACTAGTGACATAAAAATAATAGTTAGCATGTTAGCCGTTAGCCTAGATACAGCCGGGGCGCATAGTAGCGTCAGACCTGTTAAAACGTAAGTGAACGGGCAACCTTCAAGTGCAAAGTTAGTCCACTAAACAAGCTTTTTTTCCACAAAGACCGCCTCCATATCGTTAGGATAAATGTCAGAGAACACATAGAAAATGACATGTAAACGTGTTGTCTTACCTTACAGGTGTGCTGCCATGTTTGTTTACTATCTAGCTCTGCTTTCCAAAGCGCGGCCGAAATATATCTCGCGAGCTCTAGATAAAGCCCAGCTGGATACTACTCCAGGTGGAGGTGTCTCGTCCTCGGTCACATCCAGACCTTGAAAATAAGGCTGCAACCGGTCCCATTCCTTGCAACAGAGGCATTCCTCTTCTGTGGGCACTCCTCCGTTCTTCAATTTCACAAAGCTCTTCGTCAGTGTATTCTGGCTCAAATAAATAAGGGCGGCCATCAAACTCTGCAAAATCAAATTCCTCCTCCACAAAGTCGAAGTCTGGCAAAAAGTCAGCCATTATTCTATAAATCTTTCTTAAAATAAATGAATGAACTTTTCAGGCTAGTGTCCGGTTCTGCCTTCCAGCTGCTGCTGCTTGTTCTCGCGATATTTCGACCGTGCTTTTGAAAGCAGAGCTAGATGGTAAACAAACATGGCAGCACACCGGTAAGGTAAGACAACACGTTTACATGTCGTTTTCTATATGTTCTCTGACATTTATCCTAACAATATGAGGCGGTCTTTGTGGAAAAAAGCTTGTTTAGTGGACTAACTTTGCACTTGAAGGTTGCCCGTTCACTTTAGGACAATAGGAGACAGGTTGAAATAAACCGAAATTTCCCTTTAAGTTATCAGAAAAATAGGTGTGCACATATCAGCAGGTGCTGGGCTGGCGGCCCATCTGCAATGAGCCGAGAAGTGTAGGAGAAACATTTATTTGTAATGTGAGAATTCTTTATTCAATGTTTTTACCGGTTTGAATCTGTTTGTTTTTGAATTTGTGCTCATCCAAAGGTAGCGAAATAAATCAGTGAATGACTTTAAGAGTTACGTTGTTTATAATGATTTCTTTGTTTCCCTGGCACAAAAACGGGGAATAGGGCAGTTTACATCTGTAAGACGGCTACAATGAAGCCTTCACTTCTAAACCATTTGGGTTGTAACCACCTCCTTACATCTGCACAATCATAAAATGGTAATAAGGAGGTTTTATTGGCTACTGTACTAAGCCAATAAAACTACTCATACTGTATCATTCTTTGACACCTGAAGTGGCTCTGAATGGAACTCACCCTGGATTGTGACACAAGGGTTTTTCCTTCCTATTGTGTGCGCTTGTTCTATATTCAAGCTCCTGGCAGCTGCTGTGCCGTCGCCGTCAGCTCCCTTCACCCCGCAGTCAACTGAGAACCTTTTCCAATCTGCTGCAAGACAAGTGTGTTTGTGTGTACACCAGTGTATGTGTGCAGGCGTGACGTCAACTGTGATCCCTTGGGAACGGATAAATGACAAAAGATGCGTTTCTCCTCTTTCCCTCGCCAGTTTCAGGAGACAGTGCTGACACAGAGGCAGCAATGACGGAGAATCTGCGTCTGTCGGTTTGCCTGATGCCCCAGCAGACCCTCCACCGCTGCCTGAGCTGCAGGCCCAAGGGACAGTTGGGTCCTGAAGACGCCTCTTTTGTCACAATACTGTCAAGCCAAGGGTGGTCACTCTCCAACTGAGCCCAGAGGTGACAGAGCTGTGGAGAAGCCCTCTGACCTCAACGCACCTCACTCTGTCAGAGAGCTGTAAGTCTCAGGGACCCAGCGCCACGGGCAGGGAGTCACAGTAAAGAGTTAATGTGGTGACATGCAGAAAAAACAAGTTCACGGGGCATGCAACACTCCCAGCTCGCCCACGCAGCCGTAAGCACACACACAAAGACCTTGTCACTCAAGCAAACAGGGTATGTGATCTGACACAAGATGGAGGGTGCTTACGTAACACTTGAATCATTTCAAAGGTGTAATTGGATGTCTGTTTGGGTCGGGTGGAAGAGGCTCTTGGCACTGGCAATATCAAAGCTGACATTCATCAAAGTCTGCCAAAATAACTAACAGAGGTATTTCTGGATGGAAAAAAATACTCAAACATACAAAAAATCCGACCTGATATTCATTTTATTTTACATGCTGAACATATCTGGTACAATGTTTATGTCAAAATGTACATTTAGTAGTAAAAGGTACTGTAACTTCACCCAAAGTTTCATTTTAAATACTGCGTACTATCCTTGTTAAATGTAGACAGGAAGAAAAAAATATATATTTTCTTCACATTATAATTCTCCCCAAAATAAATTGCTTTCAGAGGGAAAGAGCACATTAATTCAAAACGACACATTAATTCAAAACAGATGCAAATTCATGTTTCGAAAAAGTGGTTGTCTTCACAAAAAAAAGAGATGGATGTGACACAAACTCACATCCAGGAATCACATTTCCTTCATCCAGTTTGAATTCTAAGAACGGCCTATTACAAACGATCATCTCTTCACCTTCGAGAGCAGAGCGTAGTGCACTCGCTGCCTTGTGTAAGGAGGACTTCCTAATCACCTGCTTGTGAGGCAGCAACAGATATGTAACATGACTTCTGTGTGCATACACGATGTAAACGCAGGTCCGAAGGCCTCATGTACAACACTTTGTTACATTCAGCATAAAAAAGTTGCATAAAGCTACAAACATGGACACAAATTCAGAGATTTAAAAAACACTGCTCACACAACACAACCGATACAAACTGCTTGTTATAAATCACAGAAGTGGATTTTTGTGTCGAGAAGACGCTTAATATCCTGCACAGCCCATCGACTCCAGCCATTAGTAATAAATGGCTGTTTAAATGTATCATGGCAAAGAAATGCCTCATTTTTACTGCTTTAAAATTCAATATGTTATTTAATCATTTCATTGAAACAAAAAAATTAAGGCAGCATGGAGGTATTGGAGAAGCACGTCACCCCCAAAATGACCATTTGTACATCAATTACTCACCCTGTGTTGTTATTCGTATGCCTGCGGTGAAAGAGGAATCCAAACACTGAGACAATTTCGTAATGAATTGAAGTCATAAAGTTTCATGTTTAACAACAGCAAAACTGTATCACAATCAGTAGTTTGTATTACTGTGTGACAGACCATAGATTTGGGATGAGACAAAACTGTTTTAGAACGTTGCAGAGAAAAGTTGCAGCGGAGTCTGAGCTCGACTCAAGCCAGCTGATGATGTCACCTGCAACTCAGCTGGTCAAATCGCTGGCTGCTGGTTTTAGAACATAAAGCACGTCACCTGTTTCTACAGCCAGTCGGCTTGTAGTGAAGACTGCTGGTCAAGTTAGAATGAAGGAGAAGGTATACGTCTATATGTCTGTCCCCACCAATCCCTCTGTTTCCATCCTCATGGGTTGTCGGTGTCAGATGATGGGTAGCTGCTGCTGCTGCTAGCTGTTTGTGTTTATGCCTATAATACGACTATAAAAGTATCAGGTAGGTCTAAATCCACTGGAGTTTGGAACAATTAAAAATCTTTGTGGGGGAATTAAAAAGTCGTTTTCCATCTGTTGGCCTTTCAAATGAATCAAGTGCTGGAAAATGATTTAAATGTTTCTATTTATGTAGGCCATTAATCTTATTTATGCACAGAGCATCAACAGAGAGGCCGAAGGAGGGAAGGAGTGAGACACTTTGTCCGTGTTATATACATCTTGTATATGAAACGTCTGTGTTGCGGCTGCTTTTTTCAAACAAATATGTCGCCTGCATCCAGGCGCTGTCTCCATGTCACACATTAGACGACAACTACCTAGAAGAACAGCGACATGCTATGATCCACCTCACACACAAACTAGTAGCGCAGCACTGGATTGCACGTGTGCTGCTGTCATTTCATTCATCTCACGGACTGATTTAGCGTAGCATGTGCAACATATAGACCGATGTGGCACTGTAATTAACGGACAGATTAAAGAGAGGAGCAGCTCTGTGTCTCTCTGAGTGTTGCTGAAGAACTTGTGAGTGAGTGAGTGGGGCGGAGCTGAGAGGACAGATGCACACTGGTATGCTCTATGTAACGCAACTTGACGCTTTATCGATACAAACGCTGTTGCCTCTATGTATATCGTGCATAGTCGTTATGTCGCTCAGCCCTAGTAGCCAGTAACTATCCTCATTCATATTCTAAGAAGCTACAAATTATATTCAGCCACAAAATAAGCCTGAAAAGCTGGAAATCAGAACAGAAGTACAGAGAGTTATTGCATAGAGATGATACACCTCTAGTTGCATTGGTGTGAACCAGCACGTTTTTAGAACGTTGCAGAATGGCGTGTTGCAATTAATTGCTTGTTTCAACTCGTCTTGTCGCGAATCTTTGGTCTGAACTGGGCTTAACATAATCTGACTAACTGATCGAGGCAGTGGTAGACCAGCAGCTCCTGTGTTCAGTGAAGTAAAATGACTGTTTTTGTAAACAGTCTGTCGGAGCATTGAAAAGTTTTACTTTTCATTCAGTTCCCCGACAGAAAGGTTTGTCTGTTTGGGAAGTACTAAGCATACAACTTGATAAATGAGACTTGAATTATTCTGCACAAGTTGTGAGAGTTTGTAAACTGATGTTTTGATATAGTTTTGCTGTTGTCGACTTCAATTTATCAAGAATTTTCTCCGTATTTGGATTCTTCGTTCACCTGGGGCAGGCAAGAAAAAGATTTCTTCATGAATTCAACATAACACAGGGTGACTTATTGATACACAAATGATAATTTAGGTGGTTATGTATTCCTTTAAGTAAAAAAATAATACATACTGGAATTTGTTGCCATTATGAATCAAATAATCTGTAAAAGGCAAGTACAAGGCAGTCCAGGACAACACAGTGTTTTGCTGCCTGTAACTATTCGATATCACATATTTGATATTAAGATAAGGACAGCATATCAGCCATATAATCAATTCATTCTCTCGTTCAACGTTATCCCTTAGTGTTTTATTCCTATTTGAATTTCAAAACAGCTCGGCAGTCAAATAATGTAGGTCATCCCATTTAAACATGATATAATAATCATCCTGAATTCCACAAATACTGTCTCATTAGAGCCACAGTGGAACCGCAGCAGTCAAAGACCATTTTGATTTCTCTCTGCATCGTCTACCTTTGTTCTTTGACTCTAATAAAACCCACACCAAAGTTCACTTCAAAGTATTTGTGGAGAATGTGCTGTTTTCCACACTCTTACTGTAAACACACACTCAATTTTTCATGAATCGGGGATTTAGTGCAGCAACATTATGCATGTATCCTTGTTTGTGCGTACACACGAGGCCCCTGGAGTTGGTGCAGACGAAGGCAGTGGTCATTTCTTTGTGTTTCAAAGTGGTTTCCCAGGAAGTGGAGCATCAGCTCCTGTAGTGTGGTCAATCATTTAAACTGACCAGGAATGTAGAGTCGTGAGGCTCTTGGCAGTTGTGCATCCTCACCTTTACAGATATTTAGTTTAGAGCTCCTCGAAGAAGGCCACCCTGGTCTTGGTGCTCTGTAGTGTAAGCTGTGGAGGAGACAGGGACAGCAGAGCAGATACAGTTTTTAATCTGTGGTGGAAGTAAACAAGAACAGAATATACTGCAGTGCAGCAAGCAGGAAAGCAAAACTGCTCACCAAATGGCAATGTCACAGAAATCACCACCTGCCCTTTCCCTCAGCCTCTCTGCTGGACCTAATCCTGCTATGTATTTCCAACGCGAGCACCATGTACAACAAGTCTGCCTTAATTTCTGACTTTATCGCAAGCAACACGTAGCAGATGTGATGTGACGGTCAACAAGCTTACAGGATGAAAGTCTGAACCTAACTTTAATAATTCAGTTTGAGTGCACATGTGTGAAATCCCCAGCACCCTGGATGGGTCTCTGCAGTTCTGGGGAGCTGGCTGCACTTCATGTCGTGCTAAAACCACTCCGTCATGAGAGCCTGCTCTTGTGCTGGGATTATATAGTGTATTTAAATCATTCTGTATACTCCATATACTGCAATATGCTGCAGTTACAGTAAGACCTAAAATTAGAAACACTCATATCCATTGATGAATTTAAAGACATCACAAAAAATGGGTGATACAGATGTGCTTGTTGTTCTTGAGAGGCCACTGTGTTTGAATAGTTGTTGCTCTATTGTGGATTTTTGTATTACATGTTGTTGCATTTTAATATGTTTTGATCTGTGGCTACCTCGGCCAGGTCTCTCTTGTAAAAGTCAATCTCAATGGGACCTCCTGGTTAAATGAAGGTTAAACAAATAAAAATAAAACAGTGACTACGTCCCCATACACAATATAGTCCAGGTTTTGCCTTTATTCCAAAGAAGACAATAGTCCTACTAAGCTGTTTACATGGCTAATGAAAATGAATATTCCACTTATATTCCCATTTAAGTGCAGCCATGCATACTCCATAGGAAAAAGTTTTCTAGTGGTGCAAACACAGCGTCCCTTTTTCCCTCCTTCAAACAGCTTCTTGAAAACGTTGGTGTTGCAATATTTGTGCACATATGAAAGCTGTTGATATCTAAGTCTTTCATGATGTTTGAAAGTAGGTGTTTTTCCAATTTTCCATAAATGTGGGCTTTTCTTTTGGACATGCATTTCTACCTCAGCCTTGCAAACTGTTGGCTACTTGGTGTGTGTAGAACGCATCCACGACAAAGCACAGAGCTGACCGTAAACAGACAAGAGGCCATGTGTTGCAAACTGCCGTTAAAATCCCAGTTGAGAGGCATATTCTGAATGTGTTATATACTTGTCCAAAAGAAAAAAAAAATCCTCCTCATCCTCAAATAATATCCGCATATCCTACGTGTTCATCACAACATGCTTAATACTGAAAAGGCCGAATTCAGATTAAACAGAATATACTGTTTACAGGACCTGCATGAATTTCAAAATATTGCTAAATTATGAATCATTATGAAATATTAGTGATCATGTTAACATAGTCAGTGTGGAAAATAGGGATGCCCCCTAATAGTTGACCAAACATTAGCCGACCAGAAAGGTCATCAGTCGGCAAGATTTCATTGGTTGCTTAGTCCTTAATCCTGAAACTTTATTAGGAGCTGCGCCTTGTCAAAATAAATCAAAACCTATATGACCAGACCATGTGGGAATTTAATTTGAAAGGACAGACACAGGAAGTGTCCACGCTCAGCAGTCAGACAGGAGTCAGGTTAATGGTACCTGCAGTTATTCCACAGGCTAGTTAATAACATGTCGGGCAGGAAATCCAAAGTGTGGGATCATTTTGAGAAGGTGAAGGACGAACCCAAGGTGATATGTAAACTCATCTTCATTGGTCGACTACAAACATGACGTATCATCTGAAACATGGAAGTAGCTACATGCCCATTAGCCCACAGCGTCATTAACAGGCGGCTCGCTCAGTGTGTGACGTGCACTTGTAGATAAAATATAGGCCTATATTAATGAAGGTTCATTAGTACAGTTTTGTATTTCTCTGTAATGTAGCACAGTGTTAACAATGTTACTGATACTATTCTTTCTCACACCTTCAACTCAAACCATTGTGTTGCCCCACCCAAAATATATCATTTAATCATTAAATCAATATCGTAAACATGCGGGCGACTAGTCGACTAATGGCCCTAAATGACGACTATTGGTTGACTAGGAAAATTCTTAGTCAGGGGTAGTAGTAGTAGTAGTAGTAGAAAATAATGGATCAAACGTTTTCAACTGACTGGTTTGTTTTACTGCAGTTCCAATGAAGACATTCACATATGCGTGTTTAATCCAGCCATGCCTCTGATCAACACCAGAGTAAATTTAAAAGGGCTCTCAGCACCTTCCAGCAAAACATGTGATTTGACTTGCTTCCCCTGACAAATCAATAGACTAAGTGATCATAAGAAGAGGATAATTGAAGAGTCAGTAGACGTGTGTGTTTACTGCAAACATACCCCCAAGGTTACTCTGTTTTTTAATGAATCTCTGATGCTATGTGAAAATATGCAGCATTATTGATACTTACACTGAAAAAAAAGACCAGACTCAGTCAGAGTTTACAACTGTCCCTGACAGACAAAGAAATCTGTAGGCTTTTCAAACTCTCCACCACAGGGGGAGCAGGATGGGTAGAAGATCAATGCCAGTCAGAGAAAGTACTGTTAATTGTTTTTCTCTCCAGGTTTAAATGAGCTGCTGATGGATTAATTCAGGCCACTGACTGTGCTTTAACCCCTTCAGCTAGCGACGCATTACCTCGTCTAATGCAGCACTACTTCAGATTGATTGGGCAAACTTTTTCCCCTCTTCAACATCTGTAGGGTAAAGGGAATTAAAGCGGCTGCAAAAGTAAATATTAGAGCGGGGATGATGGAGGACAGTTTGGGAAATCCAGGTTATTTCTGGGGAATGTGTAGATGGAGGGACTTAAGCAAATCCAAACAGATGATGTGTGGCTAAGGGGTGGATTTGCAGCATAATGTTTACAGATCACCTTCTATTGTCCCGGCTGACAGGCAGCCTGAACTGTACTTGTGAGTGTGAAAGCCTGAGTGCGTGTCTAACTCCGCAGCATTGTGCTCCACACTGCCCACAGCCTCCATGCAGGAAAGAGCGAAAACTCTTTGTTAAAGGTCCCAGGTATTAATACTGTGAATGGCAAAACAGCACAATGCATTTTCCAGAGGAGAGATCCTTCTGTATGTTGTTTCAATATGCAGCAGAGCACAATGAGAGCAAACCAAATGGTTGACCTCCTTCGTGTGCAACTCCACACAGTCTGGATGGACTCTGTGAAACTTCACACAGAATCACTGCAGCCCTTGTGATTCAGGTGTTGAGAATGAGCCCTCTTGGCCCTCTTGGCGGTACTAACAGAGCAGAACCTGTGGCCTGGTAGAAGTGCAAAGGCGCTGGGCCGTGTTAAGGGGCCATTCATTAATCATGGACGGAGTTTGGACGGAGAAAACTTTGCTCGGGGGTGCAGCCACTCCTGATGCTTCTGGCTCAGAGATCTGTGCTTCGTAGCACATTCCCTCTGCTCTTCTTTTCCCCAGGTCTCCCCCTCATCCCTTCCCCTCTCTGGCTGCTACTTCAGAGTACATTCTTAGCATGTCTCCGTGACTCAGCCTCCCCAAAACTTCTCTCCTCTTTTGGCAAAGCCAACTTCCACCCCTATCCTACCAAAATTAGTGCATATATTCAGATGTTTGAAGAAGAGGAAAAAAGCAGTGATGTTCTAAGGTACGTGTTTTGCATCCTTGACGCAGTAAATTCTGAAAGCACACATTAGACTCACTATCGATGCATCCGGGAGACGCACTATTATTTTCCAAAACAATGCTACATTGTGAACAACACATCTGTGTTGAAATCATGGAAACAGTGGCATCGTGTGACTTTATTTAATTTGAAATCATTTCTCATGTCACAGAAACTACTGAGAAGGAATCTTGTGCTTTGGATGTTATTGTCATGCTGCTGGTGACGTCCACCGCCACCCCTGCTCCCTGAAGCTCTGTGCACTGAGGCGGTGTCGCTGGCACAGCAAAGGGCCTTAAGGACTGCTGGTAGATAATAACTTCATGTTTTTGATTCCTAAAATGTACCCAAATTCACAGGTATGAAGGGTATAACTACAGGTATTCCTTTAATATATTAATCTCAACACGATTTGGCTTCCCACAATTAAATGAACATGATGCTTTAAATGCATGCTTGGAACAACATAACCAGAGATACTGGATGAAGGGAGATACCCAACTGTAGGCTTATCCAATGTTAAAAAAACGGTTACTCTTCCTGTCTCCTAAGTGGGCGTGGTTAGCTCTCTCTCCAATCAGAGCCTGTTCTCCCTCAACCCCCCCCCCCCCCCTCCCCACCACCGTGTTGAACAGAGGCTCTGTGGATGTCTGTGTATGCGGATCGAGAAGCAGGTGGAATGAAAATACATTCTTCCTATTATTGCAGCCTATTGTTGCACAAAGCTTGGGCATTTTTTATTTATTACTAGCGGTAAATAACTGTTTGTAAGCTAACTGTGATTTTACCGCCTGTTTATCAAGATCACGAGATCTCGCGAGAACTTGTTTTCTGAGATGGACAGGGCTCAAATAAAGTTAATTTTCTCTTGATCTGTGCCGATGAAAAATGCAGCTTTAGCGTCAGAATGTTGGTAAGGTGTGTGGCTTGTGGAAAATGAACCCAATATTTACTTTAGTGACTACAGGGCTAAAGAATTGACCATAAATTGTGATCACGTTCATTTTCCTCATTGACGACAATACATTCAGAGCTGCCTCAAGTCTCCTACGGGGGCGTGGCGCTGACGTCACTGAATCAGGAAGTGAGCTGAGTTGGGTATCTCGCTTCATCCAATATCTCTGACGTAACTAACCTTAGCCTGCGTTACCTCACTAAATCCCCGTCCTTCTCTCCCAAAGATAGACTAAACTGACCAATGTAATTGCATTTAACTAAAGATATGTTTCCAATAACAGTTTCATTTGGTTGGACTCTGTGATGGTAAATTTACTTTTAGTCAGCTTATATATTAGGTACCATTTCATGTATATTTTGCTGCTAGTGGTTACTTTTTTTTATACCTGTTATGTATTCAGTTGCTCTTTCAAACTCGGTGCCAACTAATTTGGAACAAGACTCATGAGCTGCTTGGACAGAGACGGATGAAATTTGTGTTTCAAATGACACTTGCGCTGCAGAAGGGGAGAAAATTAGCATGTCCACCCAAGTGTCATGTTTCCATCACTGCCAATTGGAGCTGGAGCCAATAAATACCCGTGACTACGGCAGAGTCATTTGTCCTGGGAATGAATGTTGACTGTAACCTTTCCCACTAAAGACCAAAGTCTGATGTTAGTGGGAGTTAGTGGACTTTTTGTCCGGTGGGAAAGGAGCTTTAGTTTCTTACTCTTGATCCCTTTTCCCTTCTCCCTGCAATGCCGTGTGCTCCCGCCCCTTCCCTCACAAGCAAGATGAATGCCGCCTGCCTCTGGTTCAATTAAACCAACACTTTTAACTTAGCTGCTTCTCCCCCTGCATGCCAAAGGTGCCCCATCCATCCAGATGACTAATCACCAAGCAAAAATTAATTAGTGCTCCTTTAACAAGTGTATTTTACAGTTGGAGACAAGAAGGGAGGAGGGGTGGGCTTTTTTTTGCCTGTTACACAATGTGCTGAGAGCACAGCTCAAATTTTCATTTGATACTTTTATTGAAATTACAGAGATAGTGGAGTAGGCAGATAAAGCAGAATGAGTCTAATCTGCCAGTTCATCAGAGGACAGCTGAAATAGAATCTACTTTTTATAACTATTCCATTGCCTCTGACCAATCAATTTAGAAATATCCCAGAAGCTGAAAGAATCTGTCACTTTTTTTGTGTCAATTCATATCATCACCGAGCCAGCCACTTGGGTAAGATGAAATAGCTATTCTTACTGATGGAGCCGACATTACATGCATACAGAAACACAGATTTCCCTCTTGGTTGATCTGTGGGAACTTTTTTTTTTTTTACACCTAAGACCAGTAATCACTGTGCACTTTCAGAGGTCATAGTAAAAGATGAATGATTCCCGCTCCTCCCTCCAGTGGGCCCCATCAAAGAAGCAACTTTAGGTTGAAAAATTAACCCAGGGCCAAGTGGAGACCGTTGCTATTGAGCGATGCTCTGAGAATCAATACTCCGCCTTAAAATAATATGATGGTTAGGCGTGGGTGTTGTACGAGAAAGGACTATCAAGTTTTTGATAGATACTTATCCCTGGGAGATGATGTAAGATCAGTAATAAGACCACTTTTACACTTTGATTCATGTGTCTCCAGCTGTTCAGACAGCTAAAACGCAACTTATAGATGTAACTAAATTGCATTAGTAGTGTGTTTTTCTCCCTCTTACACGACTTAATGGATATCTACATTCACAGGCCACTTATCTGATAGAAAAAAGATTAATCTGAAGAGATACAAGTGCGATTCAAAGTGGATTTGATGCAATTCAGTTGTGATTAGGAGTTGATATTCTAACTTTTTAAAAATAACACTCAACTTTTAGCTCAAATACTGAATCAGAATTGTCAAGATATGCTGCAATGCACCAGCAAAGACAGGGAGAAAGAAGACAATGCTGGATTTAAAATACTCATACCTCGGCTTTGCAACTTTTTTATGAGTAAATATATGCATTCAACACATTTGTTAGAGCTCAAGTCGACACACACTCTGCTTTGGTGAGTCACAATGAACAGCCGTGGTGAAGAAGTTTCCTCTTATTGTGCCAGATAAGACTGAAGACTCCCATCCTTTCTGTGCCTCCTCAACAGAACAGTATTATTCCTGGATTACTGGCAAGCGTAGAGCATTGTTGTTTGATTCTGTTTTTTTTTTTAATACCTCGATTCACTGGTCATTGTCAGTCTTTAGAGTTTGGTAAATATTTGTGTTTTGGTAATAAAGAGGTATGAGCACATGAACCTTTAAATAAAACAGCTCGTCTTCAATCACAGTTTTGCCTTTTATAGGGTGGAGTTCAGGCAGGATTGAAATTGAGCAAAGCGTTAATTCAGGCAGGACACGATGTCAAGCTCAGCTCACATCCCAGCTACATCAGCTGATCTCAAACAACCAAATCAACTGATGGAGCAGCTGATTGATGGAAGGGAGTCAGCTGATAGATCACATGATTCCTTTCCATGCAACCAACTGGCAAAGATCATTCAGTGCACCATATATAAACTGCTCTGGCCTGCCTACTGTTGCTGCTTCCTCTGTGAGCTGCTTTGCAACCTGCCTCCACCCCAGCTCCTCCTTTTCATGCTGTGTCTGACTTATCAATGTCATTTCTGTTTGTCATTCATGCTGCTCTGTTCTGTTCCCGGGGTTTTTTGCTGCTGTTCTCCCTGCTTAAGGCTTTCCAGGCACATGGAAAGGCAGAGAGGTGTGCTCTCCCTGCCTTAGGCTTTCCATGTAGGCGCATGGAAGGGCAGAGAGGTGTGCTCTCTCTTCCTTGAGGCTTTCCACACAAGCACGTGAAAGGGCAGAGAGGTGGAAGAGGCTTTCTGTGTAGGCCTATGAAAGGCAGAGGGGCCCCAGAACAGAGCCATAACACCAAAAATAATACTGCAAATGGAAACAAAGTTTTCTTTGACTAAAGTGTTCCTGACTGAAGTAGCATTATTATAACTGTTAACACAGGTGTGACTTTCCTATTATTGACTACTCAATAATTGATAACTTCACTTTCTTACCCCTTCTCCACCAACATAGAACAGGTTCTGTTCTGGTTCCCACACCTAATGTTGAACTGGTTAGAGCACTTTGACCAAAAGTAAGTTGGTTCAGAACCCAAAGAGTTGGTACCCAGCTGAAACCAAAAAATAGCAGGTTTTTCTTAACAAGAAGTGCGAGCCATGAGGACTTCAGTTGGCATGTCATCTTCTACACATTAAAGAGAACGGATGGAGAAGAGAACAATGGAAAAGTCAACTGTGAAATCACCAGAAAAAACGAGCTTGTAGTGCCCTGACTTTGCTACAACTGTTTACATCCGTTGTGCATTGTGCAGTGCCCTCCGTCAATGACACATCCCTGATTAAAGTGGCTCTGCACAAAACTGGTGGCAACACAGGCTGGTTTGTTAGATATCACTAACTGAACAGAACTGGTTCAAGAAGCAGAGCTAATTTGGCGTAAGAAGGTATATTAGTGCGGATGGCTTTAAGTAGGTATGTGTTTAGGGAATGTAGCGAGCTAACAGGAGAGGGGCAAGTCGAACACACACACTAAGCACATGAATGCAGATCGTTTCTTTCAGCTGCATCAATTTTTTTTTTCCAAATTTCAGCAGAATTTGGGTCAGATCTGTGGTTGTGTATTGATGTAGGCAAATTGGTTTACCTTTACACCCCAGTTCGCCAAAATCACCTTAAGGTGTTGATGTAATTAGATTCCTGTCATACTGCCAAAGACCTACTGACGAATGTTGTGCGTGTATACAAAGTGCTACAATAACCACAATGTTTGACTGTGTGTACACAAACATGAACAGATGAGGCATGAATGGGGACAGTCAACGTATGAGGAGTATTTTCTTGATGGTCTAGCGTGCATGCAGCTGAGCTCATACAGTAGCTACCTTTTTAAAGTTGCTGTGCTTGCTGGTCCCCTGCTCAGTGTTCTGGTTGTGAATGATGTCCAGAGGAGTCTCCCTCTCCTTCATCTTCAGACTTTCAATCTCTGTCTTCAGCTCATTCAGCTGCTCCTGCAGGTGCTTGCTCTTCTCCATGTACTCGACCCTGGACATGATCAAATTGCAGGTTGGTCGGCAGTTTAGTAGATTATACTGTATGTCCCCTTGTATGACTCCATTTTATCTCACTGTAAGAGCTGGTCTTTTCATAGCCATATGAATAAATATGGCAACACTGGGCATCCTTGTTTTACTCCACTTGATAGGAGCATAGACTTAGATATACAACCATTATTGATCAGCCTCAAGTGTGTAGTATTTGATAAGACACTAAGCCTATAAAATAGTAGTCATAGTAATACTAATTTGGAAAATAAAGTCTAAATGAGCTTATTCAAAGTTCCTCCATAGAAGGGGAAACACTTAAGGAAAAATCTCACCTGTACACTTTCTTTTAGTGCCACAGTTTCTTTAATTTTTTTGATATCTCTCAATTCCACTGCAGTCTTTTTTCAAGTTTTGTGATTTGTTACCCCGACCTGTAGTCTCTGTCCTTACTTGCCTTTATTTTAAAAACCTAATTATCTAATTACATGACAACAAAGACTCAGGTCAAGCTCCAAAGCCGGGGTCATATTTATCTTAACGTAGTTTTACCTGTCAGGCATCACTGACACGAAGAGCTAGAGAAAAACAAAACTTGAATGCTGGCAGTGACATCAGTGACAGCTCATGCTGAGGGTCAACTGCCTGCCTGAACCCCTGAATCAAAATATGCATATTAAAAAAACGACTGTGTGTGTCCTCCAAGTGCAATCCAGAATAAAGTAAGATCTTTCTCAACACATTTAAAATTAATCCAAAATTCATCAGATAAACAATCCCTTCAATTTTCACTGAGGCCCAAAATATCAGACAGCATCAGTAGAGTAAAAAGAAGGCCACTCACTTCTCTTTCTCAATCTCCATGGAGAGGCGTTTCATGTCGGTATCTTTAAAATCAAAGCTGAGGTTCTCCCTGCTGAAGCTCAGGTCGGGCGGCATGCTGTCAGGTGCCAGTCCTGGGGACTGGGAGGGGAGATGGAGAGACAGATTAGAGGAAGGGAGGCGATGTAGACGAACTGACAGGGACAAAAGAGCAGTAAATGGTGCAGAATAAAGAAGTGGGAGTGACAGAGAAAGAAAAGAGAAAAAGATATGAAAGGTAAAATATATCTACAATGGAGGGGCAGATAGAATAAAGTTGAAGGTGGTGGTATATAGAAGAGGAGGAAGGCATAGAAATATGAAATGGACATACAGGACACGATGTACGCAGAGAGAACTGTTTGGAAGGGAAGAGAAAAAAAGACCACTTTGATGGTCGCAGTCCATGAATACACAAATATACGCTTTTAGATCCTGACCAAATGTCTGAAATACTTGGCCACATGCCACCTCAGGACTCGGCTGGTTAAAAAGTGGACCTAATACACAATATAAATGTAAATCCATTGGTTGGCATGTGAATCCAAACGACAGTGTGGATACATTTGATGTAAATAGTCTGGACGAGCAGGGAAGGCAATCTGACCAAGTTCAGCGGAAATAGGTGGTAATGTGTATGCGTACGAGTGTGTGTATGTGTGTAGATCTTTTCATGCATGGGCTGATAACTGTATAAGGGAGTTCCAGATGCAGCATGTCTATTGTATGAATGTATGTGCACCAGTGTGTGTCTGTGTGTGTGTTTAGGGTCTTCATTCATAAGCTTATAAGCGAGTAGTTCTCTATCTACGGCCAGCATCTCAATATGTATCCGTGTGTGTGTGTGTGTGTGTGTGTGTGTGTACGCAGCTGAATGTGCAGCGTGTGGGTTTTTAGCATGTTGGAAGCTCTTGCGTAGGCTGCCTTATGTGCTGCCTGTTCTTACACAAGCATCTCCTGTTCAGTGTGGCTTTGCGGGTCTATAGTTCTTTATGTGTGTGTGAGCTATTTTCAGTCAAGCTGAAACTATATGGTCATGTCCATACCATATAACAGGGACAGACGTGGTATTTTTCTAAAGGGGTGTGTCTTCATGTGTACTCCTACCCTGTGGGGAGTGTATCCATGTACTGCATAATATATATCCATTATGGCTATTTGTTTTATGCATGGCTGTTGACATTATTAATCCATCTTTACTTTCAATTAACCCATTTATCTTTGTCTTTAAATATGAAAGAAGTAAGAAATGCCCATCATAATTCATGACTGCCAGCAGTGTCATCTTGAAATTGCTCACTTTGTCTAAACAATACATAATAATTAGATTTCTTTGGGGATATTATCGTGCATCTGGGGACTATGGATGAAAAATGGTCTTTTCAGTTATGTAAATTACATTACATTTACAGTAATGTTTATTAATGTGAAGAGCTGCAACGATTAATTGATTGGTTATTTTTCAAGCAAATTGCCAAACGTTTAATGGTTTCTTACATAACAGGGAATTTCATATTTTTACACAAACAAGACATTTAAAGACATCACTTTGCGCTCTAGGATACTGAACGGCTAATTACTAATGAAAATAATTGTTAAGCCCCTTCCCCACTGTGCAAAAAAAATCACTAACACCAAATAAAATCTGGCTTTTGTGTTTAATGGGAAAGGTTATAATCAGCATTCACTCCCCAGACAATTAGCAATTGACTTGCAGTATTCAGGGGTATGTATCAGCTCCAGCTCTGATAAGCAGTGATGGAAATACAGCGAATTTTCTGCCTTTTCGCGGCAATGACATGCTGCCACAAAGTACTGTCTGTCTCTGTCCTAGCAGCACTTAACTATCGTTCAAAATTAGAAAGCATCAACTTTAAAAGAGACTGAATAAATGACAGATATAACAAAATAAGCAACCACTGTTACGTTTTCTCTGGCCTTCATGCTGCTTTGTACTGTTTACAAACCCCATTTTCTGGTGTGTCCGCGACGTTGCATGTGACACAATAGGGAAAAAGACAGAGCCATACTTGTCTGCTGCAGAGCCTTGTACACAGCTCTGGTCCTCTGGCAATAGAAAAGTAGTCTATTGCCTATTATAAGCACGTTTTGCCGCATTTAAGAAACAATATACATGCTCATTTTGGTGGAGAAAGGGTATTAGTTGCAGCTCGATTAATATACACTGCCCCCCTGATTAATCAATTAGCAGAATTTACATGATTTATTTCCTGCCATAAACTTATTAATTAATTCTATAATTTATGTACTTTTTTGTTTTAAAGGAGTTGCATACGCATTCGGAAGATATGCTGATGACTCAGAGTCTGATTCAGGTCGTCTGCACACGGTTTTCACCACTGAGGTGACTGAGCTAGCAGCTAATGGTGCTAACAGCGTGAACAGTGCTTACAATGGCAGCAGTGCTGACAGGCTAACAGTGTCAACCTGTGAGGGGGGACCGGAGGGTGGGTGCTACTCTTCCACAATGATAACATTGGTCAGGGTGATGTTATCAGTGGTAAACGCTGTATAAACGTAAACAGACACGGGCTCACATGTACTAAAATGCACACACCGTCACAATAAAAAACAGAGAGGCTTAGATAACAGCACATACAGAGGGACACAGAGCGTGACTTGCTCTCTGCTCAGGACGCCATTACTCCACTATATCATTACATAGGAAATAGTGGTTTGCTGCTCTTAATGCTCTGAATGTCGTATGCAGCTGCTTTAAGAGAGGACAAACACTTATGTGTTGTAAGTATGCATGTGTATGTTCTCAGCCCATTACCGCATAGACAGCCCTGCTGGTAATCTCCAGCAGCTTGTGCTTTGCCCTGCGCTCTGACTCCCTGGCTTCCTGCAGGTCCTGTTTCAGCTGCTCAGCCTCCTTGGCCCTGAGGGACAAACAGACAGACAGATGCAGTTAATACTTTAATTCACCTCCCAGTCCTTCAAAGGAGACAGTATTATCTAAATTAAATCCAAAATTATCTTACATAATCGGTACGTCGGTACTCGACGAAGCGGGAATGTCACTTTGTTATTACCCAGGTGATCAATGTGTCACCAGAGCACACAATCATTTCTAGCTCCATTATTCCACCATCGAGTTTTCACACAGAGATGTAAGAATGTTATATGCAGGTGATTATATTTCTTTTGATTGTGTTCCTGAACACTCAGCAGTTCCTCGTTGATGTGGGGGAGCTATGCGCCTCAAGGGTTTGAGTGGACATAGTCATTTACATGTTGAGTGCCACAGGTTTAAATTTCTCTGGTGTAAAAAGTGCTCATCCAGAAATTGCAGTTACTGGCAAGTGGTTAATGGTGCCCATTTGAAATGATTGCCTAATAAATGATGAAGTACAGGATGTGAAGTGATATTCTTAGAATCTACGTACACTGCTTTATTTTGAAAATGACTTCAGTTCTTTGCTACAATGGATTGGCATCTATCAAGCTTCACAGAGTGCTGATTAAGGATCACTCATCGAGTCATCTCCTTATCCATCTGACCTCTAAAGAAATAAAAAAAAAGTCAACAGCAGATATGATAAGTACTTGTTTGAACCATTCCAGGATGTATGAAAAAGAAAATGAGCAAATTTCTCTTTAGGGCACAGATAAAACAAAAAGTTTTAGCTTCGTGGAGCTTCAATATGTGGGAAAACAGAGTGTTTGACAGGGACTCCCTCCATCAATCGATACTACTGCTTACAATTAACGAGCACAAATTAACTGCTGCACCTCAGACCTAGGAGAAAAGCTGCTAAACAAAAGCTTTCTCCCTCTTTTCTTCTGTGTGCAGCAGTGTGGCTGTAACTGCATGATTACCTGCCTTTCAGCTGCAGTGCAAGAACAAAGCCTTTAAAATTAAATGATTTTAAACAAGTTAGGAGTTCTTTGATCAGGCAATTTAAATGCAGCTGCGTTACCTAGGTCTGTGCTCACAGAGCATCGACTGGCTTCTGAGCAAACTGAGGTGCTGCGGTGTGTTAGTGCACTTTGACATTAGGCTGTATGGTAAGTCAAAAACATCTGGTAGGTTCATATGTTGAAATTATTTAGGGAACTGTGTCTCTGAGGCTCCTGCGAGCTTGATGTATTCGCATTACAAGTTAAGGTAAAAAACTTTGTGAAGGTAAGTAAGGAGTGGACTTAAGTTATTTACAGATCTAAAAACCTATGGATACTGTGCATATGAGTGTGTGTGCGATGGATACAAGAACAAGTATATGAGTATGGGAGAGTTTGACAGAAACAAAGCCACACAGCAGCCAAAGCTGGATCAGAATCATATTCACTGCAGCATGGATGGCTGTACACTCTACGATTCATCCATGCAGTCCTCTCCCCACCTCCTCTCCGATTCGTCAGCCATCTTGAGGGCCAGCATCTCTGCCTCCAGCATCTTCTGCTCCATGAGCCTCCGTTCCTCCTGGCCACGGATGGCAGTCACTTTGATGCGTTGCATCTCTGTCTCAGCCTCGGCAGCTTTCTGGGCCAGCAGCTTAGCCTCCTCCTCCGCGATCTGGGCCTTTTCAGCCAGCAGGTCCGCCGTCTGCTCTGAACGCAGCTGGAGAGGAGCGGGAGGAGGAGAAGGAGAAGGAAGGGCAAACACAAGAAAGGGGAAAAGGGAAAAGAAAAGTTGAAAATGGGAGGGGAGAAATGGGGAAGTGGAGCAAAGAAAGAGAAATTGGGTGAGAGATGAAAATGTGTGCAGAGATAAAGAGGGGAAAGAAGTGTTGAGGGAGGGATGTGCACGAATTCAGAAGGAGCGAGGGAGATTGATGGAGGGGAAAGAGGCGACAGTGAGAGACATTAAAGGGGAAGAATGAATAAATGGCATGAAAAACAGAAAACACTGGGAGGAAGTGAAGTGAAGATGGTGTGAGGCGAGCTCAATTTGACAAAATATTTTGTTTTAAAGCCTGGTGTGTATGAGACAAAGCCAACAAAATGGTGGATTTGGGGTTAAGCTAACCAAGTGAATCTTACCAATGCGTCATTAGCCATGTGAGCCTCATCCTGCAGCTGAATCAGTCTCCTTTCCAGCTCATCCCTGGCTCTCTCTGCCTCCTCACGCAGCTGCTTCTCCCTTTGCAGACGCTGCCTCTCTACCTGAACGACAGACAGGTGGATTGTGGACAAAGAACAGAAGATATGGTGCGAATAATGAGTGGAAACATGGACAAAGACAAAAAATTAACAGAACAAAGAAAGGATAGAATGTGGACAAAATTACAATGCACAAAGCGCAACTTGAATTCAACAAGCGAAATCATGAAGCAGGTGCACCTGACAGACACATCAACAGGAAACACAATCAGAACTCTGTTTTGTAGGAAAAAAAATAAAGTTTTAAAAGTTGCTTTTATGTCCTAACAAAGCAGTATACTTGATTTGTGGGTGTTTGCGTTCCCTTCATGTATGACTCGAAACGTTAATGTGAACACAAATCAAAGACATAAATGCTGTTAAGCGTGAAATAACATCAAAGTGGCTGAAGAGAAGACATTATGTGCCACAGAGTGTTTCCATCCGCTTGTTTTTGTGTGAATTTTCAATTTGAGCATAAAAAGACATGAGTGGAAACCATGGCAATTTGATAAAAAGTCAAAATACTGCAAAAGCAAGTTTCTATGCTTGGCTGAGGTAGACAAGTTGGTGCATTGATGAAAAGAAAGTGCAATTAAGTTCAGTGGATACACATTTTAGTCATCAGTCAGCACACAATAAATCATGATGTACGTGAAGAACGTGACTTTAAAGCTGCAGTAGGTAGAAAGCCTGAAAACGGTTGATTTTTGAGTCTCATCTGAGTTAGTTTTCGTTCGTCTCCGCCCTGAGCCCCTCCTACCAGAGCAGCATGCGAGTATTTTATCCTACTTGGTTCTATTTCTCCCTCTCCCCCTCCCTCCAGGGCTCCGGGGAACTGAGTTCTGTCTTCCTTTTTTTGGGTTTAGCCATGTAGGCAGTTGTAGCCAATGCTGGAATAGCTAGTAGAACAGCCAATAGGAACGCAGTGGTCTGAGCTGACCTTTGATTGGTTGATGCACATCGGCACGAAACTGATTCTTTAGAGGCTGAACATGCTTAGAGGATATTATAAAATTTTTACTCAATTATACCAAAACAATGTTGCCTACTGGAGCTTTAAAGGAGCAGTGTGAAGGGTTTAGGGGGATCTATTGCCAGAAACGGAATTTAATATTTATAACTATGTTTTTATTAGTTTAGAATCACCTTATAATAAGAATCAAGAGACAAAATATGGTGAAAGATGAAAGCATAATGTGCTTGAGCTCAAGAGGAGATTGTAACATTCCCTAAATTAAAACTTCAAATAAACATTAATACCATATTTCTACCATAAATGTGTAGGAGTAACTTGTACAATACTTCCAACTAAACTATAGTGAAATACAAGTATAAATTGGTAGAAAATGACAATATTCTGCATTACAGTACTTGAATGAAAACACACATTAATTCACTTTTTTTTGCCCATTTGCTGGAATTTTCATTGAAATTTACACTACATTAGAGACATAGACTACATAGAAATGTGGCCATTAAATAGTTCAACCCCATGGTCTCTTCTTCATCATTATGTTCCTCCATTATCAGTACCTGTTTTCTGGCCCTCTCCTCTCTGGCCTGAGACTTCATCTGCTGCACCTCAAGTGAGTCCACCCGGCGCCGGCGCATAAACAGGTCATGGTTCCCTATACACAACTGGAGGATCTGCACAAGAGCAACAAAACCAGGAATGGGTGCTGCTGTTTTTACAATGACATGTTAAAATGGTTGGTATGTCTCATAACTCGACTTCACCAGCCATTTCAGACATTTTTCTTCACCCTCACAATGAAAAACAAACCAAAATGATGGACAGGGACAACAGATGCAAATTAACTGCTTGCTAATTCTGGTGCAATTACTTTTAATTGTGTGCTGTCCCTGCAAAAATAAACCATTAATTAAATCAAATGGATTCCAGTCTGCCATTGTGGTGAAAAAGCAATAGTTACTAGCACAGCCAAAACACCTTCAGCTGAACTCACCAACTTGTTGACTCTCAGCCGTGAAGAGTTGAACTTGAAAACATTGGTTTTCTTGTCCAGAGGTTTGATGGTAAACTAAACATTGAGGAGACAAGAATACTAGATGTTTTATCAACTCACAAAAAAAGAAATTTGTCAAAATGACAATATTGATAAAGATATTTTCCGACATATATATATATGTACACAGTGTTTCACACAGAATTAAAATCTATGTATGGCGGTAGCTGGTGGCAGGGAGGGAGTGTTGGTTTGCAGTTAGAGCTTATTAGATCAGCTCGATTGATTAGAGGAGCAGCTGTTGCAAAGATGAGTAAAGGGAACTTTCTGTTGCTGCCGTTACACAGGTTAGACCCAGTGCTTCTATGGGAATGTGGGTTGGAAAATGATAGACAACACTAAAATGAGAACACTGTTGTTCTAAGTAATGGAGCGTTCTATTTCTATATAAATTGATGAGCAGTTAAGTTTCACTTTCACTGTGCCTAAGTACATACTATGCTTCCAAAATGTGGTGCACTGAATAACCAAACAATCCAACAGTGCTCCTAATGAACGATCCAGCTCCAAAAATAGAAAATCAACATGTGGCGGCAAAAGCTAATGATTAAAATTACAATATTTCATATTTACAAAATGGAAGATCTATAAAAATAATAACAAAATAAAATAAAACGCTTAGATAACGTGTCATTATTAGTAAAACAAGCTAATGTCTCTACTTGCAGAATGACAGCATAACACACAGTATGATTCCTGTCGCAATCAATAACCTATTATACTATATAATCGCCTATCTATAAGTACCGTTCCACCAGTCTTTGTCATGAAATGCAACAGCAAATTCTCCCACCTCCTTGTCGCTGTAGGAGATGTTGCGGATCTCATTCCAAGGGAAGGAGCACTTGGGTGTCAGCCTGTTGTCCGGCTCGTAGATGTGCAGACCCAGGGCGTCCACTCCCAGAAGAAGATCTGTTCCCTTTTTATTCTAAACCACATACAGCAGAGTAAATAAAGCTTTTTTTCTGCCCGTCTGTTAAGGGACATGAGCATGCAGTTGTGGGACTGCTCTTCAGCCAACATTCATTTAGACTTGCAATTGACAAAGGTGGCACTGTGGTGGCATCGTGGCAGCTCTGCTTGCCAACACTATTTGTTAGAGTTGAGCTGAACAATGCCAGTTGTGGGTGTATTTGCAGTCTGGGCTTGTTTACCTGAAAAGTAATGCTACAGTGAATTACTTAAAATGAGGCTGACTTGTCGGTGGTATTTTAAAATGTCTTGGCCTTTAAGAGAATACACTAATCAAGGCCAGAGCCTCCTCAAGTGAATTTCTGTTCTTGTATAGAGTTGTTACAAGTTTTTTTTTGCTCTGATTCACCTGGAAATGATCCGGTGTCAAATAGCAAATGATCATTTACCCCAGAAAATTCTCACTTGTTTAAAAAAATGCTCAAAATCCAAATAATAGATTCAACTTGGGGACAATTTAGAGCAGGAGAGTCAGACTGTTTTCCCCTGACTTCATTCCATTACACCACAGTGAAACTGACACGTCTGCTAATCTCTCCTATTGGCTTACATTGTAAAGATATAGCAAAGCAGCACTGGCTCACCCTGATTAAAAAGTAATTGACGCCATACATGTCCAGGTCCTGAGCTATTTTTAAATACTCCATCTCAGCTTCATCCCTGGTTCAAAGACAGACAGAGAAAGGAAGAAATTGAGAGGGATCCAAGGGAATGGAGAAGAGAGGGAGGGAAGGGTGGGAGGAGAGGAGGTGCAGAAGTGGAGAGAAAAAGGAGATCAGACCTTGTTTCCTCTGCTTTTGTGCGTAGCATCTGTCATGTTGCGTGTGATCTATAAAAACTCTGCCACACAGCTCTTGCGAGGGTGAAAACATAAGCACAGTACTGACACAAAACACAACTATAATTCGCTAATAGGCTTTAGAGGTCATGCTTGATGGAAAAGAGGACTTATTCTGATGCCTCCAAGACTCTAAATACTGTTAGAGACAAATCAAATGCATCAAACTCTACTCTCCCTCTCTCTCCGCAGACTGGTTGGCAGATCTGTCGTGATTTCAGGGTCAACTCAGCAAAAAAAAGAGCATTAGCATACTTTGATGGTGGAGGAGAAATCAGGGCATGCTTCCGCCTAAACTTTTAATAACAGGCTGTTTGATATGGGTGGTGGGAAATTGATGATTTAAGCTTCATCAAAGTTTTAAAAGGCAACAGAGCATTATGCCAAGTAAACAAATCTTAACTAGGTTGGACGCTGAGTACATTCTGACTTTGGAGTGGGTCACAGGAAATTTAAGTGGTAATGCTTGAGTAATGCTGGGGAAGTTAGAGTCAGAGTTGCGCTCTATGAAAATGAACATGGGGATACGCACGGCAAGCAAGTCAGTTAATTTGATGTCGTGCTGACACCAGGTTACAAAATCAATTTATTATTAAGTTGGAAATGAATTAGAGCCAAAATGAAGATGAAGTAAACATTTAATTTCAAGGGACTGAATATTAAATCTTAATTCTATTTGGTAAGGGCATCTGTCCTTTATACAGTGTACCAAAAACTGTCACATACCAAAACCCAGCACAGAATATGTGGTCGGATTTGTAATTTTTTGTCTTTTTCCAATTTTAGTCTGCTCCAGTATGAGTGTTTGTGTTTAGATTTTAGATTGTGTTCAATGAGAAAAGAGGATTTGTGGAAGTCTACAGTCACACCAGTGGCTCTGTGAGGCTGTAGTTAGACCAAGCTGTAACCTTCAGGGCTGAAAAATAAAGTCAACCCAGAAGTGCCAAAACCTGCAGTTCCTTTAATGGCCACTTGAGGCTGGTTCTACAAGCAACCCCCATGTTAAATTGCCCAAGCATAAAGAAACATGTTTACAGCTGGGTACAAGAAACGCTTATTACCCCCTTCATGACAACTGTATTGGGGGGGGTACATTAACTCGCCCGTGTCAGTTTTATTAAGGCTTAAGTGTCCTCGGTTTCTCAGTCAGATCCACCCCTCGCTCATCCAGAGTTCCACCCTTTCCGTCCAAATACAGTCCCTTCTGGCTCCAAAAAAAAACAACAAGATGGCGATGGCCAAAATGCCAAAGTCTAGGCTTCAAAAATGGGAGTCAACAAACCAAATGGTGACTTCACAGTAGCTACATCCATTATGTTTTTTACAGTCTATGAGTTAGGCACACTAGTCATTTAAGCTAAATGCTAACGTGCTCACAATGACACCGTTAACATGCGATGTTAAGCAGGTCTTAAGTTCACTGTCTTAGCATAGCATGTAAGCATGCTAACGTTCGCTTATTTACACTAAACACAAAATACATCTGAGGTTGATGAGAGTGTCTCTAGTTCTGCAGGTTTTTAAGTTCACTATGTTCACTGTTGGTGGGTGTAGTTCGGTAGAGAGAAAATAGTTCCTACACTTAACTGCTCACAACAAGGTCTGTGGATTATCCTGAGTAACCAGGTCATGATTTGTGGAGTGAGGGCCACTGACTAAGCATCTGTATTTGACAAGCTGGGACAGAAAATAGATTGTTTATGTTTAGATCTTACGCCATTATGAGGCCCACGTCCATGATTAGATGCATGTTTCTCTCTATGCTGTGATTCATTGGGTGGGTAGTTTGGTAGAAAGAAAATAGTTCCGACATAAAACATTTCTTGAATAACCGGGTCCTGATTTCTGGACAGAGACATTGCTGTTGATTTTTTTCTAATGTATTATTTGATGCTTTGAGCACCTGAGATTCAGTATAAATTTTGAAATATATTTTTTTTCTCCTTTTGAGATACTTGTCTTTAGAAAAGATACACACATTTTTAATTATCTCAATACTTTGCTTTATGACCAAATCCCTGCAAACTAAAGACATTCCCATCAGCCAAAGATCTACTCTGTAGACCTGTTCAACATCAGTATGTCATTGTGAGCATGTTCACATGTAGCTCAGCCCATGGGTCCTAACTGCAGCCTCACAGAGCCACTAATAGAAAGAGACATTGCTGTTCAGTTCTTCAAATGTATTTTTTTGGCACCTTGAGCACCACAAGCAGAGTACTATCTAGTTCTAATATAAATGAGAACAGGTGGACATCTCCAACACTTGGCATCTCACACTAAAACATTAGACTGATAAATAGAACAATAGGTAAAAGAAAATGATGTATTTTTGATTTTGGATTGAACTGTCCCTTTAAAATAATCTTTTCATGTTATCCAGCCCTAGTTAACGCCACTGACCACCTCCTGCACCCACACTGCACTGCATCACTTACTAAACAATTAAAATGCTAAAGGTGTAAGGACCAACAACTCCCCACTCTCTGCTGGGGTTGAAAGGGTTATTGATCAACACCAGTGAGTCAATTATCACTTTTCCAAGTGCTGCAGTTCAGTTTGTGGCTTTTAGAACTCACTTTCCAGCCCAAACCTCCCCACCCACAGGAGTTTTAAGACACTCCACATCCCTCACACTTACTCCCTGTTAATTTTCAAAGTTAAAGTTCGGCTTAGTGATGGATCAAAGTGCAGAAAAAACACTGATTTTCATTCTCATGCCATTTTAGATTTATGAAAGCAATTACAGCAACACCATTTTTACAGTCCTTTTCACTGTGATACATTTGCTCCTTTGAGAATAGCTACATAAATCATGTTTTTCTTGTGCAAATAATATAATTACATGTAAATGATGACTTATGGGCTGTGGTAAGCTGTGCCATTGGTTGCTGGTGCATTTTCTCAGCCAACAAATAGATGTTTAAAAAGTTCAAACTGTGGATTCATCAATGCTTCCTGAAAAAGAAACTCCCTGACAGAAGAACTTTTATGAGTTTTTCTGCATCTTGCTGCCAAAATGGACTTCAGCTTTGCATAAAACATTTCTTGTGGAACCAAGTTTTAAGCACATCCTATGTGGACTTAAAATTGACATTTGCTGATGACTGTGGAATTTCACGGTGGTACAGTTCAGTGCAGCACTTTTTACCTTGTCCTGCCCCTGTGCTCTGCATAACACGCTGTGATTCTCTCCTCCCACATTTCTGCAGTCATCTGGTACAAGTTAATCACCTGCAATGGAGAGAGGCAAACATAAATATACATGAAAAAAATACATCACATGCTGCATCATAATGCAGGTACAGGCCTTCATAATAAGACAAATATTTACATATCTTCACTCATCAATGACAATACGTAAACCCTGCTGTCACTCACCCTCTTTGGCAGCAGCTCCTCCTCAGCCAAGAAGCCAGGTTTGTGAACACTAGGGTCGTAGTCTCCATACTGCAAAATAGAGCAAAAGTGCCCAAAGGTTTAAAATTCTCTCCAAACTAATGGCCGCTATCCACCTTCCCTCTAATAACAGGCCAGACTATGCTTCTCCTGGGAGCAGTTCATAAGATGAAACTACAGCACCTGCAAGAAAAGGGTCTCTGGGAGAATGAATGGGGGCTGGTCTGCCATCAGGTCATTAATGTGCACCGCACACACAGTGGCCCAGTTGTTGGAAGATGATGTAAATGATGCTATTAGAGATATCTGAGAGAGAACTGAGACTCATCACTTATCATCACGGAGCCGGGATACAAATTATATCATGCATGTTTGAGGAGAGATATGAATGGATTAGGCATGACTGAGTGGCGGAGGGGATTTTCCTTTGGGCCACTGTAGAATTGGAGGAAGGACATGAATTAAACATGTAGCCACTGTTTGAAAGTGGGCTATGACTGTAGATTTATGTAAGTAGGTTAACTTGAATGTTTACCTATATCTCTGCATTGCTGTTTGCTCTGAGCATGATACTGTTAGCAAATCCTCTTGTATCTTGCCTTGGCAGTGAGACTATTGTTATTTTGTTGTTAAATTACTTGTTTGAGCTAGGCAATCTTTATATATTTATAACCCTTTTGCATTTTAACACAGCACTGTTAGAGCACCAGTGTATTAAATAGTATTAAAGTAACAAATTTGTGTCAAAATCTGGCAGACAAAGGTACTCAGTGCCACTGTGAAAACCTCACTTATTCATAAAGTCTGCACATTGTACACACTGTATGTACTAGGTTAACGCGACGTCCTTAGTAAGAAAATCACATATTTTTTGGGTGAATCGTTTTGGGGAAAAAAGTTTTAACCATTGAAAAGTGCTTATAGGAACACTTTGGATCTTCTGAAGATGGGTTATATGAGGTATTTATTCATAGTCAGTGTATTACAGTAGCAGTCAACACATTGGCGGCAACAACAAGCACGAGGAGTACCACCATGGAAACTAAGCAATGTACTTGTGTGGACAGGAGATATATTTTAGCCTCATAAAAAGTCCCACCTAAAAAAATCAGTAAGAGTTAAGGTGTGTACACTATATTCTGACTATTTTCATTGCTTTACCTTGCCGCAAACAGCCCATTCTGGCAAGAAAGCCACTAACAGCTTCAGTTTTCCATCTATGCTCTCATCACAGCCACCAAACTCCATGAAATTTTAGCTCACTGAGCACAGGAGCTGCTGGTTTATCCCTGCCTCGATCAGTTTGCCTTCAGGGATTTCAGCCAGATAACCCTGAAGATTTATGAAAAAGATGATGATTTTCGTTAAAATGAAAAGATTTCTTCCAGAAAGGTCCTTCTGGTAGAAAGCCCTGAGGGTTAACTTATCCCATGTGCTGTTAGTGGTTACAGTTATTTACATGTTGTTTTAGCCAAAAGCAGAAAAGAAAGATGTGGCAGCTTCTTCTGTAATCCACTGTGTTAAATGGGCAGATAATATTTTTTGATATGTATCGCAGGCACCTAAATCACATCGGATTAATGTATATACAATATATAATGTTGTATCGTGATGAAACTGGTGATTTACACCCCCATTAATTACTGTCTTTCTCAATGGAATCTGGCTGTGGAAAGAGTGATATTCCCGCTTTAGTTCCAATTGCTGTCTAATGGCAAGGAAAAGCAGTGAAAATATTCAACAAACAGTGTACACTTAATTGGATATTTATTTTTTAGGTGGGATTTGTTTTTTACGTGGTTAAGGTATGTTTTGCTGATGACCCTTTAATAGAGTGCCGAAGTCACGCCCCTTCTGGTGAAGCTCATGGGACCTTAGATCGGAAAAAATATGAATGGCAGTGAATGAGGAGAGAAATATTATCTTTTGGTCCCGTTTGAGTTGTGACATGAAATCCAAACATGTCGTTAATGAATTTAAAACATAAATTTTAAGGTCAAGAAAGTCATACTTTGTGGTAAAACTGTTGAGATATAAGTTTCTGAAAAAAAAAAATGTAATTAGAAAAACTACACAGGAGACAGTCGCATATGTGACGTCATAGCTTTCGCTCGCTTCCTGCAGCTTGGAGTGACTGCAGCCTGGCACAAAACATACAGACATCTTCAATCATACATTGATTATAAAACAGTGGAATTTCAGCGGGGAGGCCAAGCTGCAGGAAGCGAGCGAAAGCTATGACGTCACATACGCGACCTCCTCCTGTGTACTCGAGTCTTTCTAATTAAAAAGCTTATATCTCAACAGTTTTATCACAAAGTATGACTTTCTTGACCTTAAAATTTATGTTTTAAATTCATTAACAACATATTTAGATTTCATGTCGCAACTCAAACGGGAACAAAAGGTAATATTGCTCTCCCCATTCACCGCCATTCATATTTTTTCCGATCTAAGGTCCCATGAGCTTCACCGGAAAGGGCGTGACTTCGGCACTCTATAGGAGTTCATTGCCTAGTTTTAGTGTTGGTTACCTGCCTGCCTCTACAAATTGGATGTGTAATGACCGCCATCTACTGTAGGTAATACACATGGACTGTAAAAATAATGGAGGTATAGCTACTGTGACATCACCCATTGGCTTTTGGACTCCATTTTGAAGCCTCCAGTTTGGCATCTCGGCAGTCGCCATCTTGATTTTTTGGAGCCAGAAGTGACCATATTTAGGCAAGAGGCTGGTGTTGTGGAGGAGCATGGGGTGGATCTGACTGAGAAGCCAAGGACACTATCGGTAGACTGCATGTCAGTCAAACGGAGTAAACGGGTGAGTTATATAAAAAGCTCACCCCCTGTACAGTTGTCATAAAGGGAAAAAGGCTTCCAGCATGTAAATTTATGCTGTAAAAGTTGGGCATTTTAACATGGAGGCCGATGGGGATTTACAGGCTTCTGGAGCCTGCCTCAAGTGGCCACTCAAAGAACTGCAGTTGCTGGCTTCATTCTTCAGCTCTGGAGTCTGCCATTTGGTAATACACTCACTGTGGGTAAGTACCTCATACAACCCCACTTCAAATATCTGAACTATCCCTTTAAACTCAAGAGTGAAAGCACCAAAGTCGCAAGGAGACAGTTGAACTTCAAAATAATGGGTTTTTGAAGAAGCCTTTGTCTTTGACAGGCTGACACAAAAAAGTGGTACTTTTTCTCTTGCTCTTCTCATGGATTTCTCCCTCGATGACTACTGAACTTTTTGGTTGTACCTTGGTGGAAAATAGGTAGTCTAGGAGGACTCGCTATTCCCTGTTCAATTCTGAGCCTGACACCAAAATCTGACATTACCACTGAGGTTTCAGATAGCGAGAAAACCTTCTGCTGCTGCTCAGTTGTCATTGTAATTGCACTCAAAATGTCATTGCTGTGTCACCTTCAGTTGGCCAGTTACCTGAAGGAGTGGAAAAATATACACAACAAAGAAATTGTCTCAGGAAAAAAAAAGGTAAGGGACTGAAATCAAAACCACTCATTTTGACGTCCACGAGCTTGTGTGTGGAAGAAAAAACACCATTAAGCTCTTAAATAATGACACGAGATTACAAACGCAATTTAGAGTGCATTGATTGTTCTTTTTCAATGGTGGACTTTTGGTAATTTGCACACAACAAATAAGAAGCTTTTGTGGTTCTAATTAACTAACCCAAAGCTATGATGCTGTGTATATAATGTTGCTTTTATTATGAGGTTTAATTGGGCTTTATTTTTCTGCACTTCAGTGTGAAAACAGTACTTTACAGACCTGAATTTAATAAGCTCAACACACAGACTAGAAATCCTGAAACAGCAGTGCAGTGGCAAACAGAGTGGAGAAGCCAAGGGGCATTTAATTAGATCCCTTGCCTTAAGTTTCCCATCCCCGCAGCTTCTGCTCTCGCAGTTCCTCACCTGTTTGTTTGTAACTGCTACATAATTGATGATATATAGACTTATGGAGGTATGATGGCACCAACCAGGCTTCAGCTCGGTAAGAGACGGGGTGGCATTTTGACAGTGACAGGGCTCTCAGATGCTTAATGTTTACACATCTCTCTTCCAAATAGCCTATTTTAAACAACCCCAAACTAACTGCAACAATCAATTCTCAAAGGACAGCTATGCGCCAATGCACTTAACAATTATCACCGGCGGCACAACAGTGACCACTGACTAATGGAAATCTTCTTGTCAATAGAGCCACTTTCTAAATGTAGGAAATGTATTTCTGACACAGTCCAGTCACTTTAAAGAAAATCAATTTACAGTGCCATGGTGACAAATACAGATTTCTCCTATGAAGCCATGGGTACTACATAATTGGAGATTACCTGAGGCCACCCAACTAAATTTCTGTTTCCAAGCTAACTGAAATGCTCACTTGTGTTTCAGATAATAATCTTTGTCTTTGCCACCACCATTTTCTCAAGAGTGTCAGATCGGTACTGCACATGTGAATCTACATTCTACATCTACAATCTACACTGGTTAGGCTACTTCTACTGATGGCTATTAATCAACACTAAGGCTATGTTAACTTTATAGAGTCTCAGGGTCTGTTTGAAAATGCTGTTCATATCTGATATTTTTAGCAATGTTGGCAGCACCACAATAGTTTTGAGGGACATAACTCAACAAATACTGACTGGATTGCCATGAAATCTGGTACAAACCTTCATGTCTCCCTCAGGATTAACTGAAATAAATTTGGTGATCCCTTAATTTTCATCTAGTGACACCATCAGGTCAACATTTCGAGTTGTCCAGTATTTCGGCATAAATCACAACATTTCGAGTTGTGATTTATGCCGAAATACTTGGAAAAGTTATGGCAGCCTTTGCGGTGCTATATATTTAGTGCTGGTATCCAAAAACATGTTCACAAACTAGGACTGGTGAACATGGTAAACATTATATCTGCTTACAAGTAGCATGTTGGCATTATAATGGTAAGCATGTTAGCATGCATACTTAGCATTTAGCTCAAAGCATAGGCATACCTCGTTTAAAAGTCTAATGCGTAG